CCCCAAAACCCCAAAACCCCAAAACCCCGAGTTGCACTATTATATAGATTCGCTAATATTATAATAAAGTGGCCTAATTAATTATTGATAGTAATATTATCATTGAAGACGATGGATAAAATAAACCCAAATTACATCCCCTCTCCTAAAATAATTAAAAACTAGAAGGTATTTAACTTCTAGGCATCTCCACAAATGCAGTTAGACAATTGTAGCAATATTAAAAAATCTTGAAATATGCTGAACATATCAGTCAATACTAATCCAGTGAGGCTGAAAGCAAACTTAGAAAACCCCTTATCTAGCTCTCAAAGTATCAACAACACTTTCCAGCTTCCAAACATATCAAATAAAACACCTTTTAAGGTTAATCATAACTTGAATTAGAACGTATTCTTTAATCAGTCTATGTTCTTATAGAGCAAGTATTCAATCGCCAACTAAAACTAAGATATTACTATAAATGTAATCAAGAGTGAGGAGACTGTTGGTGAAGTTGAAGTGGATGATTTCAAGATAAGGGAAAGTTTGATTCAGGAATTAGAAACCAAGGACAAGCTGAAATTGACAGAAAAAAAACATCTGGAAAAACTGAAGAGGGAATAGCAAAAGATGATAGATGAGAGAAATAATCCACCGATAATTATACAAAAAGATGCTTATAATAGGTCTTAATATGCTTAAATGATGGCCGAATAGAATGAATATCTGGATTAATCAATGTCATAACTTACTTTACCTATATTAAGAAACCAGAGAATGCCTAAACATAAATATGGATTTGAATAAGAAGATATATTGATAATTAAAGAAGACTGTAGAAGGATATAGGAGGATGCCAAAAGAATGAATCTTTTGTAGTTTAGAGAGAAACTAGATGATATGCTAGATAGATCAAGAATCTAAAGTAATTTAGATGAGGAAACAGATAAGTTCAACGAAAGGAAAAAAGAACTTAATAATTAAATGGGAATTACTCCTGAAAAAATAAAGCAAAGATAGATGTAGTAAAAGCAAGCAAAGGGATTGTCGTCATTAGCAGAATTATTTGGAAGCCAGGAAAAGATGAACACAAAAAGTATGCTTGAAGCTGGAGGTGGAGAGTTATTTATAAATCAGTTAATATAATACATCAAGGAAAAAAAGGGATTTGTCAATAAGAGAGAATTCAATAAGCAGAAGTTGATTAATCTAAGTCTCAAACAGAGTAATTCCATTGATGATGAATTTAGAAGAAGTTAAATGATGAATCACAGCTAGTTAAGGAATAGATCACAAGAATCTGACGACTCATAAAATAGGTAGATCGAGTAGCACAATACTAAATAAAGCAATACGAATTTAATTAAAAAGCCAAAAGTTAAAAGTTAAAGATCAAGAAACCAAATAAATTTAACATAAATCCATGAGTAATCACAATCTTTGAGTCATCATAAGAGAAGCTATTTAGCTGATTTGCAGTTCAGAGACAATAGTATTCAAAATAGATATCAGAGAGACATTATTGATAATTAGGTGAAGAGGCTTCAAGAAGAAATGAAGTTGCGTAGAAGCTCAGTATAAATGAAAGTGGGCGACATTATTTAATAGTTAAGTAAAGTAACTTTGGACTAAAATACATTAGATCCTAGTATTGAAATTCTAAATTAGGAATCAAGCACAAATATATTTATATCTGACATGGAGTAGACTAATGCAAGCAGTAATTACATTCACAATCTATTCAAGTCCAATGAGAGAAAAGAATTTAACAAAGATACTTTTAATAATCTCTTAACACAGTTGTCATTGTAGTATGGTTATGATCCTAATTATAAAACAAAGTAAGAAAAGATTAGTCTATCACACAGAAGGATTAAAAGCAAGAAGAATGCAACAATGGGTGAAAGCTAGATAGATTTTTCTAAAGAGCAAAAGGGCAATGTTGCAGATCTCATGAAAGATGAAAAAATGATTGAAAGGTATTCAAAGCATTTAAATAAATGCTTTTTCATCACAAGTGACCCTTTTATAAAGAAAAAGCATACATAGTATCTTCAAAAAGTAAGTCCTAGGAACGAAGAGACATTTTTCAAAAGAATGAGTAAGGATAATTAGCAGAGATTGATGAGACAGAGTGAAGAGGAGAAGCAAAGTCAAAGTTTCATTTAGAGATATAAGACAAATAGAAAGCAATCTCCAAGTAAAAATAACAGGTCTTCCTAGAGAAATGACTCTGCTGATAATCTTGATTCATTTAGAAATGAATAAATAGCAACAGACTTCGATAATAGCCTAGATATGACTCCAGATATAGAAATATTTGATCAGGCTAGAGGACTACTATGAAAATATGAAATAAATCCTTAACTTAATATACAAATTATTAGACTTTTAATTTCTTAATAACAAATAAACTTTATTCATGTGTGGGGTTTTGGGGTTTTGGGGTTTTGGGG